AATGGCTTCTATGTTATTTTCTTTTCAATGACATTTCTTATCACATGTTCAAAAACAACAACCAATATTGCATATCTATAATTTATATAATGGGTATAATTAAACAATTCTTTCACTATAATGTAAATTAGAAGTGTAATAGAAAAAATATATATTTTTGCGCCATTTTGAATTTTACTCGAATACAAATACAAATACTTTTCCCCCCTCAACAAATACAAATACCGGCTGCTCCGCACATCCCTAATATATATATATATATTTAGAGAGAGAGAGAGAGAGAGAGAGAGAGAGAGAGAGAGAGAGAGAGAGAGAGAGAGAGAGAGAGAGAGAGAGAGAGAGAGAGAGAGAGAGAGAGAGAGAGAGAGAGAGAGAGAGAGAGAGAGAGAGAGAGAGAGAGAGAGAGAGAGAGAGAGAGAGAGAGAGAGAGAGAGAGAGAGAGAATGTGTTCAAGAGTAGTTAATTATGAGCAGTGAATAATGTAGACCAGTGAACTTCTCAGGAGCTGCTTTACATTTCAAATGTAACCAGAGTCTACACATATACAGTATAGTAATGAAATTTTTAAAGAAATTTGCATTTGTTTGTTAAATTATGCATGCTTAAAGAATGATAAATTGAGTAAAAAAAAATATAATATATGATATGAAATTTGCTTCCATATCAAATATGATTGCATTTCAGGCAGAGTAATTAAAAAAAGTTAAACTACAATTTTAATTATGTTATTAGTAATTATTAATTAACTACTTTTTTGAAGTGACTTACACAACACTGCAAGAGACTTACATTTACAAATTAAATCGCTTTTAAATTAAACTTCTACCTTTTTCTGTTTCTGAACACAGATCCCGAGTTTATTAGTTCTGCATTCATTCAAGAGGATGCAAAGAACAATCCTACTGGTGAAGATGACAAAATTTACTTCTTCTTTACTGAGGTGGCTAAAGAATATGACCTCTACACCAAAGTCAAAGTGCCCAGAGTAGCCAGAGTCTGCAAGGTAGGAATAAAACCTACTAGGTTTTCTTGTCTAGTCGCTTTATGCTTTTACTTTTGATATCTCAGTGTTATTCTGGATCAGAGATGAAATGCTATGTAATTTTTCTGTTCTACTTGAGTTCACGTTTCTTCAACCAGGAACCTCTTCTGTTCCTCAAGTGTCAATCTCAGTTCCTGGTTGGTCACAGCTCTGTACAGTTTAGCTTTAACCATAATGAAACACACCTGATCAATCAACTAAGTCCTTCAGGCTTGTTTGAAACCAACAGATAAGTTTGTTAAAGCAGGGCTGAAACTAATCTTTGTAGGGCTGCGGCCCTCCAGGAACTGAGTTTGACACATCTGCTCTGTTCTTTGTCATTGGTATGTGTTTCATCACCCACTTACAGTATAGACTGTATTTATCTGATCTTTTTTGATGTCTCTGTTTCCTAGTCTGATGTAGGTGGTATGAAGACTCTGCAGAGACGATGGACGACATTTCTGAAGGCACAGCTGGTGTGTGAAGATCGAGCAAGTGGACAGCGATTTAACATTCTGACTGATGTATTCACTGTACAGCACCAACCTGGAGACCCCAGCAGCACACACTTCTATGGCATATTCACCTCACAGTGGTACATGCGTTAACTCTGACCTTGTTTCTGAATCATTTCAGTTACCTTTGCTCCATGATTGATTTCTTTTTATTGTGCGTTTTATGTTATTTAAATGTGTTGTGTGTAGGGAAAGAGAGGAGCTGTCAGCCGTGTGTGTGTACAGTCTAGAGGAGATTACTAAGGTGATGAACGGACCCTTTAAAGAGCTAAAAAAAAGCTGTGAGAACTGGATTAACCCAGAGCCCATACCAACACCACGACCAGGACAGGTAGACCCCTCATTACCATATCATTTATTAATGTGCAATATATTTAGAAGTACATTATACTCTGCAGTTTTTTACATAGTAGGTTACATACAATCACTGGCCACTTTATTAGGTACACCTTACCAGTAGAAGGTTGGACCCCCTTTTGCCTTCAGAACTACCTTAATCCTTCATGGCATATATACAACAAGGTACTGGAAATGTTCCTCAGAGATTTTCTTCCATATTGACATGATCGCATCACACAGTTGCTGCAGATTTGACAGCTGCACATCCATGATGCGAATAACCCATTCCACCACATCACAAAAGTGCTCTATTGGATTGAGACCTGGTGACTGTGGAGGCCATTTGAGTACAGTGAACTCATTGTCATGTTCAAATAACCAGTCTGAGATGATTTGTGCTTTGTAACATGTGCGTTATCCTGACGCATTTTCCTGCTGGAAGAAGCCAACAGAAGATAGGTACACTGTGGTCATAAAGAGATGGACATGGCCAGCAACAATACTCAGGAAGGCTGTGGTGTTGACACAATGCTCAATTGGTACTAATGGGCTCAAAGTGTGCCAAGAAAATATCCCCCACACCACCACCACCACCACCACCACCAGCCTCAACCGTTGATACAAGGCAGGATGCATCCATGCTTTCATATTGTTGATGCCAGATTCTGACCATGCCATCTGAATGTCGCAGCAGAATTGGAGACTCATCAGACCAGGCAACGTTTTTCCAATGTTTTATTATCCAATTTTGGTGAACCTGTGCAAATTGTAGCCTCAGTTTCCTGTTCTTAGCTGACAGGAGTAGCACCTAGCATGGTCTTCTGCTGCTGTAGCCCATCCACCTCAAAGTTGTTACGTGTTGTGCATACAGAGATGCTCTTCTGCATACCTCGGTTCTAACGAGTGGTTATTTAAGTTACTGTTGCCTTTTTATAAGCTGAAACCAGCCTGGCCATTCTCTGTAAACCCTAGAGATGGTTGTGCGTGAAAATTGCAGTAGATCAGCAGTTGAAGTTCAAACTTAAATCCCTTAAGTAAAGTTCCCTTAAATCACCTTTCTTCCCCATGCTGATGCTGTTTGAACTGTAGCAGATCATCTTGACCCAGTCTACATGCCTAAATTCATTGAGTTGCTGCCATGTGATTGGCTGATTAGAAATTTGTGTTAAAGAGCAGTTGCACACGTGTACCTAATAAAGTGGCCGGAGAGTGTACATTTACATCTACTGTACAGTATTGAGCTAATCTATACTATAATATGCTGTTCCACACCTTGCAATATAATATAATATTACACAATACTGAAAGTATGTACCAGTAATTCACCATGCTGTTCTATACATTATATGGATGTTTTATTATATGCATAATAAAAATCTATATTTTACAGTGAAACTCAATATTACAGTTTGTTCAACAGTTCTTTCTAGTTATTGATTTTGATTGGGTGAAAGTTGTGCTATATTATATTAATCCCAGCACTGATCCAGCCTGTTCGTCTGTGTAGTTAATACATTTAGTATAGTTTGACTGTGGCTGATTGACAACATAATGCATTTTTGAAACTTTAGATGAGAATGTAGTTGTTTAGATTTCAGATATGTTGCTTGATAATGGAAATTGCCTGTTTGAAATTAGTTTAAATGATATGAAACTTCTGTGCACCTGTGGCCATTTAACATCTCCACATGTCCACCAAAGCCAAAGTATTTTTTCCAGTTGTTTTAAATGATAGCACTATGTTTTTTGTTTTTTAATATATTGTTTTTATACAATGCCAGCAGCATGACAGGGCACTAAATTTGTGAGTGTTTTTGAAAGAGAGCTGGATGTGTATCATTATTGCTGTGATTGTGTGGGGCACTCGCCTGTGAATCACATCAGTTGTGATACATTCATATCGCAGTGCTGTACACCTTATTTTTACATGGCACTTTACTGTATCATACAATATTAGATAATACAACAAACAGCAAGATGGATGCTATATTCCAGTGCTATCTCTTGGCAAGTGGTAACTTTTTGATTCAGTGGCTAATTCATATGAATTTGTACGATCTCATTTGTACAGTTTAGTACAATTTGCTTATCTCCCAATGACGGTTGGGTTTACTGGTGGGGTGCGGTGCCACACCCGATTTCCACATGACTGAACTGACAAAACATAAAATAGTTATGTTTACTCATGAGATCAAGCTGTATATTCTATATAGAAGTATGTATTTCGTTACTTTCATTCAATTGCTATATTAAAGCCTATAATACATCATACAACATACATTGTACAGTGCATACAGTACAACATCATTCTGCTGTATAAATTACAACATTGTAAAGAAAAGTGCTGGCTTATGCTGTATCATGTCATTTTATACTGGACCATATCCTGCATGCATTGTATTGTAACAACACAAATACATATAGTACAATGAATCAAAACTATGTAGTGCTTTACTAAACTACAGAAAATGTATGCAGTCTTATGGTTGGAGTGCACTGCACAGTTTTCCCCCAGCTTTTTACAGATTTTGAGCAACTGAATGTTTGTTTTGCTAATTCAAGTAGTGTAGATGACAAATATGGTAATGGAAGGAGTACCTAACTACAACAAAGTAACTATGTAACATTTAAGGCCAACATTTCTTATGACTTACTGTACATGGCAGTGTACCCACCCAGAAGCGTTTCCAAATCTGTTCAGGTTTGTAGTGCGTTCTAGTCTTTACATGCTTCTAATTAACTGATGCTGCCTGCATATAATATAAAAAACAGCATATCTGTTAAAATTCTAAAGAAGCCCCTTAACTTTGCAGTTGCTAGTATTGTGTTGAACTCACTGTTTTTGACTTTAACCTGATGTTATATTTCCTGTCTGCTTTGGTCATTCTCAGTGTTTGAATAGTGATCAGAGGGAGCTGGGATTTGAGTCTTCACTGAAGCTGCCAGATAAAGTACTTACTTTCATGCGAGATCACCCTCTTATGGAGAACAGTGTGGTAGCAGTGCCTTTGATGATCAGATATGGTATCACATATACTAAACTGGCTGTTACCTTAACACCGGCATTCAGTGGCCAGAAGCAACACATCACAACTGTTTTGCACCTTGGAACAGGTACGAAAGATTAAACTGGAAAAAAATAGCTGCTTGAATTCATAAAAGTGTGGATGTTGTATAATAATGTGTAGTTCTTATACATGTATACTTAAAGTGTGTGTGTGTCTGTTTTACAGATCATGGAGAGCTACACAAAGTCGCTGTAGTTGGTCCAAATGCAACTCTTATTGAAGAAATAACCCTGTTCTCTGCTCAGGAGCCTGTGAATAATATATTGCTATACAAAGTAATCAGTTACATTATTTAAATAGTTATTCTTGTTTATATTTGGGATATCACGAAGTACTGTATCATCTCTCCCCTCTAAATCATAAAATAACAACTAGTGAACATATGCTAATTGTCCTCACTCTTTGTTGTAGGGTGAGGCTGTTGTGGGCTCTCCTCACTCTCTAGTGAAGTTACCTATCTTGGGTTGCTCCTTGTACTCTTCTTGTGAGGTGTGTGCGCGAGCCGGGGGCCTTGGCTGCATTTGGAGGCATAATAGGCCAGCTTGTGCTATGGCAAAGTATTTCAGACATAAACACTCACTCACATAAGCAAAAGTCTTCTTTTGTTAATCTTTTTTATACATTATAATTGTCATTTATGTTTAAGGCCTGGTGAAGTGGTGGAAGCAGAAGATTTGGTAAGGCAATGCAACAAACGTGAAGGTAAGACAGTGTTGCCTAAAATCTACTTAACATATGCTGTCAAATATTACAGTGACAAACCTCAGTGAGAAATACCTGGCCCACCCAATCAGGAGGCCGACTTTGTCCCCACATCAGATAACAACAGTTTTTTTGTAATGCATTTCAAAACTGAGAAAGCAGCATACATACGATGTGACCGTGAGGTTTAAAAACATGTTTTGGCTAGCCAGGCTCTTTTACAATCTTGATTAAAGTATTCTGCTTTGATAATTTTAACCATTCTAGCTGCATTAGATGAAAGAGAACTTAATTTGGCATAAAGTGCAGATTTCTGTGTGCATCTCATGTCTTGGCGCGCATTACCAAACGCACTTCCCTTTTAATTCATTTCTTGCAGTCATAATTCACACAATTGAAAGTCTTAAAGAATGTAAACAGTTCAGCAGCACTGAGTAGGATAATCGAGAGATGTATCGGGCCCGCTTAAACATTATAGCATTTTTCTCATGGAAAGAGCACATATTAAGTTTACTATCTGTTAATGACGCACAGAAACTGACAAATCACAGGCAGTTTCAGTCGTGAAGTTTGTGCAAAGTGCAACATACAAAATTCAAACACATGTGCAAAGCAATATCAAATATCAGTATAGATATTTTGATACATATCCACACATGATCTTCGCTTTGCCTTTCTCGCACACTCTCTTCTCTTGACACGCATAAACAATATTGACCTGTATAAACAATATCGAGATGCTAGTAACTGAATTAATATCAATATCACTTATTCGATTAATTAAATAAGATTGCTGTTAAAAGTACTCACAGGCCTGTGTGTTCTCATTCATCATATTCATTAACTCACCGACTAACAGAAGGACCCAGCGCAGTGAGCGCACCAATCCATGACATAAAACCACAGAAATTCTCTGTTAATTAAGGCAGAAAAATTTAAAGAAAAAAGAAAATGTATTTTATAACATCCTCGTTTAGGTGGTCGCCGTCAAACATTCAGCCCAAATGCTCCGGTAAGACCAGAAACATGAATTCTTCCCTATAGCCTATATGATACTTAATAGGTGATTCCCCTTTATTTAAGGATATTTAGGGAAAGTTTTAAGTATTTCAGAGCAAGTAATAAAATATAGCCTATGTTTCGTTGCGCTCAGCAGCTATTAACTAATAAATCTTTTCATGTATTTAAGAAAAAAAAAACATAGCCTAGCCTATAAGGTTGCCTAGTTTCTGCTTTCACTCACCGAAAAAATGCTCTGTTTAATTAATTAATACTTAATTAATATCATCATATCTAAATACTTAATAAATAATTTTTCAAACCTTCTTCGGTGTTTATTGTTTTTAGAAAATATCTAAAAAATTTTTTGTCTTTCAGATAGGTCTTTGTAAAATGAAAGTTTAATATGGCTTTAAAACGGTTTGCTGTATGTAAGTTATTGTATATACCTAAATTGGTTTAGCTTGTATTTGTTTTATATTGGTTTATTTATTTAATGTGATTTTATTATATCCAACAATTATTTAAATTATTTCTACATAGCTTAGGCTATTTTATGACACTTGTTTTGAGCCTACAAAAGTGGACACGAAATTTGTAAAGTTTCATGTCTTTCTGTTGTATTCATATTGTGTATTATCTCCAAAATAAATATCAAAAAGAAAAAAGCTGTGCAGCATCAACAGAGCTGTGCGCTCTTTCCCTCGGTCTCACACACACACACAGGCATCTAAATTTGCACAAACACACCTTTTAAACTTGACAAAAGCTCTTGAAAACCTGTACTTGCTGCTGTGTCTTTAATATATGGTAAAGATTTATATGCGTTATTGAAACATCAAGGAGGACGCAGCATAGGAAAAAGTCACTTATAAATGAAAACTTTACTATTTTATGCAACAGCCTTACATTTAAAAGGGAAGCATAAGGGCAATCATAAGCAAAGAGACCCCTAGCCTATAATGCTAGATGTTTTCTTTCCCTTATTTATTTATTTTTTTGGCACATACTCGTTTGCGATCAGAAAACTGTCCTCACTCCGCCTTTCCTTTCACTCCGCCTCGAAACCCCAGTTGGCCCGTTTTGGCCCAAGGTATTCAGCAGAACGAAAAAGGCCTGGCCGCTTGCCCCAAGAAAGCCCTGATTTGGCCCGATTAGGCCCCAGAAGTGACAGTAGAATTGCGACTGGCCTTGGCTCGCCCTGGCTCGCTCGCTTTAGGCGCGATAGTGGAAACGCAGCTATAGAGCGCTATGGTAAAGCATGCTAAATGCCATATGTGCAGCGATTAAAACTTGTTATATGTTTTATATGCGGAATAAATGCTGAAAACTGTTTTTGATAGGCTATAAATGGTAATTAGCTATCTACATCTAACAAGTAGGCTAATAAGCAAATATCTACTATTCAAAAATTTGTTATAAAAATGCTAATGTCCATATTGGCTCTTGTGTATTAAATAATAATTAACAATTATATTAAGATTTTGTTAAAAATCACAAAATATAGAAAATGGTATGAAATGTTGATATTTTTATTAGGTATCATCTCAAAGTTGGACATTCCAGCATTGTGAAAACACTAGTTACAGTTATTGTAAAGACTATTATATGCAATAAAAGCAATATGGGTAATTCTATTGCAAGTATAGTTAACATTTCAAAGTTTTAAAATTAAGGAATAATACTCTTTAAAATCTTTTAAAAAGCATATTAAATTGTTATTTTTGAGCTTTTGCCTAACATAAATGATTAAATGTTTTACTTTTAGAGAAATAAAGTTTTTTAAAATATTTTTTATATTATAGCAATAAATATTCTTATATATATATATATATATATGTAACGTAAAATTATATATCATATATCAAAATATTTAAATGTAAAATGAATGAAATGCAAGACAAAAATTACTTAAAAAATGTTTATTAGAATTTTTTGTTTAACTTGTTACACATATTTCTTAATGTAAACAACACACCCACAATAAACCATCAAGATCCTGGCTTGACAGCCATATTTATTACAGAAATAAACACACAGGCATGTTAATGCCATTTGAATTTCAAAACATTTAATGCCATTAAAGAAAAAAAAACTATTTCCAAGCTGGATTCTAAGTGGACTGCAAAAAAAATGCCAAAACATAGGCATTGCAAATATAGAAAATTTTAAATTTTAATAGCAATAAAGTATTGAATACAAACAATTGTACTCATTGTAAAGTTGTATTGCTGTGAGTTGAGTTGTCCTTCTTTACATTCAGCCAGTTGCTAAAACAGTCCAGTCTGTTGAAATTATCGGTGGACAATGTGGACCTTTTCTTTTGAATGATGTGAACTGAGAGTGCAACGCAATCTCATGGCAATTCGTAACTTTTTGATTTAGTGTGCACACACACAGACTCAGACTAGAGCTTGCACGATTCTGGCCAAAATGAGAATCGCGATTTTTTTTGCTTAAAATAAAGATCATGATTTTCTCACGAATCTGTAGATGTAAAATAACGCTTAATATGAGATTATTGTTTTTTCTCAAACATATGGTAAAACAACAATGTTAATATTAGGTCTACTGGTTTCTATAAATAATTCTATTCTACTTAAAATAATTCTAATTGACAACATTTTTTGACCATTTAATTCACTGGTAAAATCAACATTATAGTAGTTATTCTGACACTGTAAACATTTATTCTTATGCACAACTGTGTGTTCGCTATGAAAGAAAAAACAAATTAAATGCTTGTTGCAATCATAACTCTAAAATGCGTTGTGATTATTTAAATGATGTGCACGCTTTCGGTTTTATTTTCACTGCTAAGTTACTCAAAGCATATGCAGGTTCTGTTCACTGAAGTAGACGCGCACGTCTGTCATTAAGTAGGGCGTGCACCCGCACAGTCAGCAGCTCATGTCACGTGTGATTTCCCGGCAGCGAATAAAGCATTATATGAAGAAAAAAATGACATTTTTAGGTGAATTATACCTTATAAATACAGTATGTGACTCTTTTAACATCATTTGGAGGTGTCTATGTTGCTGAGCAATGTGTTTGAAACAATGAAAAAACTGCGCAGCTGCCTTTGCTTCTCTCCTGAACTTGAAAATATGATTGACAGAATCGTAGAAACGCTGGATTAAGATCATCTAGGGGATCAAATCGAGATTGCAATCTTTTTTCGGTTAATTGTGCAGCTCTAACACAGACACACATATTCACACTCGCACACACAAGGACAGGACAGGGCAGTCGGAGCGACTCCCTTCAGATTTAACACGCATTGCGTTCATCAAATTTACTTAAACTAAGCATTCTGAAGTATGGCTGTATTCCACAAGGATTCTGACACAACAACGCAAAGAAGACACTTGCATTTAAGGGAGTCAAACTTCAACATCAAACTTAATAAAACATTGGTGGGCACATGCTGAAAGGGAGTGGAATGCGCTGTCTTTGACAGCTCGCGACTTCATTTGGCACTGCATTTACATGGACACCAATACTCCGCTTTTAATATGATTAAGATAATACTCTTATTGAGAGTCTACCATGCAAGCAGCGATTTGTGATTACCTTAAAGGACCACTAAGTCACAAAATGTGGAGGTTTTTCTTTCTGCGGTATCAAATTCCATTAAAACAGAAATTGAAAGATTAAAAATGAAACACCTGGAATTAGATAAAACTCTGGAGGAAATGCTGGATAGCCTGGTAATGCGGCATTAATTATTTTATACTGAAACTTGCCTTCAAAAAGTGCATATATATATACACACACATATATATATATATATATATATATATATATATTCATTCATTCATTCATTCATTCATTTTGTTGTCGGCTTAGTCCCTTTATTAATCCGGGGTCGCCACAGCGGAATGAACCGCCATCTTATCCAGCAAGTTTTTTACACAGCGGATGCCCTTTCAGCCGCAACCCATCTCTGGGAAACATCCACACACATATACACACACACACTCAAACACTACTGACAATTT